CCCCGCAGCTTTTTCCTGTGGAAGTGTTGGTGGCTGGGGGCGGGGAGCGCTGCCCGGGGGGTGTTTTTGCAGAACAAGGTGGCACTGTTGCGGCCGCAGCTGCCGGCAACGCGGGCTCGGCGCCTCGCAGCCAGCGGAGCGGAGCGGAGCGGGGCGCAGCGGGCGCGCAGCCCGGGACAGTCAGTCCCCGCGCCGGATCTGGGGGAGGGGGCGTGAGAGCCTGGTGCCCTTGTGTCCAGCCGAGGGCTTTCTTGGGAGGACGAGGGGTTTTTAAGATCCTCTTCAAACTTTCCCTTTCCACTGGTGGCGGGGACAGGCTCGGCCCTGCCCCGGGCGCGCAGTCTGGATGCTCTACGTATCGTATCTCGGTCAGCGCTTAGCCCTTGAGCTGAAACAGCTCACGTTACAGGGAAAAAGACTGATCTTGTCTTTTATTCAATCCCGATAACCAGCCCTTGTAACTCTATCTTCCCCTCCCAGCTACCTTTACTGAAGTTCCCAAAGATGTGACTGTTAGGGAGGGAGATGATATTGAGATGCCTTGTGCTTTCCGAGCCAGCGGATCCACCTCTTACTCCTTGGAAATCCAGTGGTGGTACCTTAAAGAACCAGCCAGAGAACTTGCACACGAATTAGCCATCAGTGTCCCCGGCAGCAGGAGCAAGGTAATACAGTACTGTGGAGATATATCTATTCATCGAGTGCAGCATGCTCAGAGGCTGATTAAAATAAACTCAGCAGTCCCAGAGGGCCAGAGGGGAGAGCGCTTCCTCTACCCAGTGCCAGCAAGAAGGCAGGTTGGAAGCACCGGCATCCCTTGCCCTGCCCCCCCCACCCCCCTCCCCCCGGACAGAGGAGCACAGGGCATGCACCATGGGGGACTTCACCTCAGGAAAAAACGTCAATGCTTTAAGGATTGTAAATAGAAAATGATAAATGTTCTGCTGCAAAATCATCAATGAGGACCCAAGATGGGCAGTCAAAAATAGCTGTAGTATGAAGTGGGGACAAGCAAAAATCAGTGCTTCTGTGGGCTGAGCTAGGAATTGTAGAAGGTGGGAGAGCTCATTGTAATTGTTGTAAAAGGCTTGCTCACTGACAGAGCTGATAAAGGCAGGAGGGATACACCTCTCTGTTGGTATGTTAAGTACATATCAGTCTGCATATACAAATGTACACAGTTTCTTGGGGTGCAGTACAGACCTGTGTCCATATCTAGTGCTCAGCAAGACATTTTCAGACAGTCAGATGTAGTAATTAAAATGCATGAAGCAGAGTTAAATCTTGCGTGTCCTTTCCCCTCCCCCTAGCAAGCTGCCTGGCGTGAGGGTAGGCTCTAGTCTAAATTTTTCAGCTGCATTTCCCCAACATAAGCCAGTTCATTCTGCAGCAACCCCCCAGTGCAAGATAGCGTGCTGGTGCCAAACAGGGCTGTACAAGGAGTGGGGTGAAGCAGGATTTCCAGGCTGTGTTGCCCTACTGTGCAGGGCACGTCATCCTCTCCAGCCTCCCGGCCCCTGCGCCAGCAGGGTGCCCCGCGGCAGCCTCCGTGCCTGTGCCAGCTCCCCTCTCTGTGGCATGCTTGTTTTCCTGCAGAGCTCAAATAGAGATGCAAAGCATATAGACACTGAGCTAATGTGATGCCGCCTAGCTGGGGAAAGTGTAAGTCAGTTGTCAGACAGGGAAATAAATCGCTTGGATTTAAATGTCTTCTTTAACCTTATATAAAAACCGTGAGTTGCTTTTACAATAAATGATGACAGGGCATGCCTGGAGAATGATGACCGTCTCCCTGGGAGGCGCATCAGTAAGATCTGAGGCATCACTTAGGTTTACAGTAGTTGGCTGCAGACAAAAAAAAATAACCAAGTATGAAACCTGCTGAGCGATACCTGCTCCCAGGATGTTTCAGGACCGAAGCTCTGCCTTGAGCAGTGCGGGATCCAGCCTGCCCAAGCACTTCACCACTGTGCTAATGCTGCTACTAAAGCGGCTTCCCCAGTGTTTGTCAGTGACTGTGAGCAGCACGGCATGCAACAAGCATTTCTTTGGCTGCTGTTCGCACCCTTAGTGAAGGCAGCGTTTCTGTGGGCACCACAGGAGCTTTACCAAAACAGTCCCCCCAGCTGAGCACTGGTTTGTTGCCTTCCCTGTCACCTGGGGAACTCCCCCCAGCCACGCATGGGCTGTGTGAATGGCAAGTGGAGAAAGTTGCATCTGTCCGTGTCCTGTCCTTGCACTGGGGTGGGAAGATGAGCATCTTTTTGATGTGCTGGCAGAGCTGAGTCTAATCCCCCTTTTTTCTGTTCTTTTAGGTAACAAATAAGGATGCAACCAAAATCAGCGTAAGTGCAGCTTGAGCTGGGCGGTGCACACGCCTCCTCTCATGCGCGTGGGGTTTTCTGCATGCCCCCCTCCTTTCCTGACACACGAATGCAGCTGGTCTCACTGGCAGCCCCGCTCCTGCAGCAGGGCGGGAGCGTGGCACGTTTCCTCTCCTTGGTGTGTCGTGGCTTGGTCAAACCGTCACCGTCTGTTGCTGGTTTAGCAGTCACGTCTCATGCCTCGCAAATTGAGAGGAGGTGATGCTTGCCTTACAGCCCTTCCTTAGCCACGTTTGAAAAGGACTGTGGGCCAGAAGTTTGCTTTTTTCCCTGCCCTCTGCCAACCCCAGTCGCCTGTGGCGACCCCCTTCTCTCCCTGTCCTGCAGGAAACGAGCCCCTTACCCGTTGATGCGG